GAATGTCGGAGAACTTTGTATGAGCTTGGCAGGCTGGATTGCTGCCAAGCCTTATCTGTGTTCATTGCTGCCCAAGCTTGTCTGCGCTGGGTTGCTGCCAAGGACCTGTTTGTCTGTCAATTAAATGCCGTAATTTATCTCTGGCTCGGAGTGTGCTTTGGTGTGGAACAAGGGGGGTCAGAACACCTTTCCAACATTTGGCTGATCTATCTTTATACGTTCTAGCCAACCTTGCCGGTGCGAAGTGCCATCTATAAAACATTTTGAAAAATTCTATAGAGTCTGGGCACTCTTGTATACCCGCTTACCCCCCACCCCCCAGGCAACCAACTTTCCCCACTTTCCCTGCAGGTGGATTCCTACGGAGGCTCCCTCCAGTACACAGTGCGCTACCACCTGGGCCGAGGACAGTCAGAGCTTGTCCGGAAGCCAGACGTGGTCCTTGTGGGCAATGGGCAGAAATTGCTTTACCGGCTACAGGTGCCTCCCGAGCCCTTTGTGACCAACCGGCGCCATATCCATTTCACAGAGGTGAGTGCCAGGGGAGACAGGGATGACGGGGATGGAGGAGGAGAACATCTGTCTCTTGCTGGGAGGGTCTTCTGAGATAGACCCCATAAAGACCTGACCCAGCTTCCCAAACAGGACAAACCCTCTGTATTTTAAATCAGTGATTCCTTTATTAGGAACGCCGGCAGCCCCGGCAAAAAGTTTCTCTCTCACCGCAGGCTAGCAAGTCTGTCTGGCAGGGAGATTAATAGTTGTCTGCCACATATATTCATCTCTGCCCCCTGCCTTTTACCCCCAGAGCTAGGGTCGGGCTTAGTTAGCAGTTATGGCTCTTCCGTCCCAAGGACCGGCCCATAGATTTCCACTACTGCTCTCCTCTCCTCTGCCTTCTGCACATTTGTGCGTCAGGCATAGGATCCAGCTGTTCCTCCTCTTCCTCATCAGCCACTTCTAAACCTGGGAGCTGTTGACTCTTCCTCTGAGGGCTGATGGACAGTTCAGGCTCCATCTTTGTCTCTCTCTCTGACAGCTCCATTCCCTCTTCTCCCTTGGAGCTCTCAGGTTGCCCTGATGCTGACGCTGACTCCCACTCAGTGGTGGGTTTCCAAAAAATTTAGAACCTCTTCTCTAGATGTGGCCTGCTTTGTGTGAGTGGCTTGCCAGCCATGTGACCGGGTGGGAGTGGCTTGCCAGCCATGTGACTGAGTGGGAGTGGCTTGGCAGCCATGTGACCGGGTGGGCGTGGCCAACTTGTAAAATGTGGCGAAACTCACTTAACAACGCTCTTGCTTAGCAACCAAAATGTTG